ATATAATTATATACGGAAAAACTATTGTTATATGTAAACACATAAACACATATTACAAACATTTTATTTTCTGTGTAATAAGATATTTACATTTTTTTTTTTTTTTATTAATATATAAACTTCACGGATATAAATTATTTCTTAGAATTTATCGAGTTAAAAGCAATTCATTTATAACTTTAAATTCGTTTATAACCTATAAACCTTAAAATCGCTTCCACTGTTAATTGCTAATAATGGTAACGCAAAAACAGCTTAATGATGCTCTTGAAAACGCTGATAAAATTGCCAAAGAAGAGCTGAAACAAGCTCTTTATGTAATTAAAACACTTACCGCCAGAATTGACGAACTTACTAATAGAATTGATCTGCAGGATATTGAAATAAAGTCTTTAAAAGATAGTAAAAGTAGTGAAAAACCTTTGTTATCTAAATTAGTTGAACGAGTTGGCAAACCCGGTACATTAGCAAACGTTACTGTAGTGAGCGCCCTCAATAAGACTAACAGAGAAAAGAGAAGTGTAGTGTTTGGTCTACCAGAATCTGTTAAAACTCAACCAAGCGAGATAACCAAATATGATACCGCGGAATTCAAGAAGGTTATGACATCTTTAAGTAAATCAGTCAACGTAGTTAGAATTGAACGTTTCAAAAAAAAAAAAGAACTTTGATTCTTATTTGATTTGATTCAAGTAAACCCGCTCCTCTTATGATTGAAGTTGATTCAGTATCAGAAATGATGTTCTAGCGTCGGCTAAACAACTAGCATCGGGTACTTTTAAAGATATATTTATACGCCCCGACCGCACAGCAGCAGAGCAAAGCGAATTTATTAAATTAAACTTAGAAAGAAAAGCAGCTAATTCTGACCTTGACAAGCTTGGAAAACTTGACAAACCCTTTAGATTTGTCATCCGCAGCGATAAATTACGATGCATTGATGTCTCGCACGAAGTTGAAATCAATGGACGTAAAAAGCATCCTTTCATCAAATGGAAAGATGCACAAGCAGCCAAAATTGCTAAAACACAATGAATCAAATCGTTTAACTGTGAATACTTATTTAAATGCATTAAATACAAAAATAAAATCTGCTAAATCTAACCCTAAAAATAAACTTTTAAAATGTTTTTATACTAACGCAACTTCTCTTAATCCGACTAAAAGGAACGAGCTATCTGCACTCTGTGGTATAAACATGCCTGATTTAATCTTTATTTCTGAGACATGGTTTACTGAAACATCTGCCACTCAATTAAATAACTATTCACTAGTGAAAAAAAATAGAATAGGTCACGGTGGGGGGGGGGGTTGCTATCTACATTAAGCGTGATCTAGTTGCGCATGAGGTATCTGGTTGTCATCTAGGAGAGACTTTAAACAACAGCAACTTCGAGCAAATATGGTGCGAAATTAAAATCGTTAACGAAATGATTTTTATTGGCTGTGTCTATAGACCACCTTTATCCCATATAGATGATATAAAAAAACAATTATTTAAGCTAAGCAAGCTGTTGATAGAAAAGCGTATAGCTGTATGTTATTAGCAGGTAATTTCAACTTTCCGGATATTAAATGGCATAATGACGAAAGAATTGAATTACTAAGCGGTCAAAATAGTGCTGCAAGTGTTTTTCTTGTAACTTGGTTAATCATAATCTATAACAATTAGTTGATTTCTCAACCTTCGAAGCATCTAATGGAAATGCAAAAAATGTTTTGGATTTAATTATTACAGACTCTTCAACTAGAGTAATCAATTTATCTAGCTCTATGCCGTTAGGTGATTTGTCACAAGGTCATCGCATATTGAGTTGGGATTATGTCGCCCTTTCTAATAATAGGACAACTTTCTCAAACAAAAAATATGATTTTTATAAGGGTGACTATAAAAACTTCGGTAAAAAGATTATGGAAACTAACTGGCAGCAATTATTTGAAAATAAAAACACTAACGAATGCTATGAACTTTTCTGCAATAAATATGATAAACTCAACAAGCAATTCATCCCGTTAAAAAAAGTCTATTCTACTCGTAATGCACCGTGGATGAATAAGGAAGTATTAGCTATGATAAAGAAAAAACAACAACTGGGCAATTGCTTATCTATGACAAACTGGGGATCAACGACCTTCATTTGTGAATATAAGAAACTAAGAAGCCAAGTTCAGAAAGCATGTACACATCGTGTTCGAGTATTTGAAGCCTAACTGGCATCAGATAAAAATAATCCAAAAAGAATGTATGCTTGTGCTAAAGCGCAACAGAACGTATATGTATCTATTAGCGCTATATCAGATGCAAAAGGTGAAACGTTAACAGAGGCAATACATATCCCAAACAGACTTAAAGAACACTTTAAATCAGTTTTTGTTGATGATAGCATAAATGATCAGCTACCGGTTTTTGAGAGAAGACATAATCAAGAAGACTCAGGCGATGTAATAATAAGTTTTGAAGCAACGCTAGTCTATTTGAATGGTTTGAACCCGAACAAATCTATTGGTGTTGATAACATTAGTCCAAAGGTACTTAAAGAATGTGCAGCTCAAATGACTTACCCTCTAACATTAATTTACAATAAAGCACTGTCTGAAGGCTCAACACCTTAAGCCTGGAAGCATGTTACACCGTTGTTTAAAAAAAGGGAGTCGTCTTGATGCCGCTAATTACAGACCAGTGTCTATCACTTCAGTTCCATGTAAAGTAATGGAAAAGATTATCAAGGAACAGATAACTAAATATCTTGAAAAAACGAGCTGCTTCTCAAATAATCAACATGGATTTATGTCCAAAAAGGGATGCACGTCTAACTTATTGGAAAGTATCGACTTATTGGAAAGTATCGACTTATTGGAAAGTATCGACTACATTACAAAAGCGTTAAGCAAAAGAAGTTTTATTGAAGAAGTTTAGAGATTTTTGGACTTTGCAAAAGCGTTTGATAAAGTTTCTCATCGTAGACTAATACATAAATTGAAAGCATATGGGATCAATGGTAATGTTGGCAAATGGATTGAGTCATTTTTTGACTAGCAGAAAACAACGAACAGTTTTAGGTAATCACTCTAGCGACTAATCCGATGTTTTAAGCGGAGTTCCAGGAGGGTCTGTACTTGGTCCAACATTATTCATCATCTACATAAATGACTTAACGGATAATTTAAAATCAGTTCATAAAATTTATGCTGATGACACTAAACTGTTGCAAGAAATAAGACCTGAGTTTCACGATGCTGATTGTCTGATTCTTCAAAATGATTTAAACATTATCTCAGAGTGGTCAAAAGAATGGCTTATGGAATTAAATGTTGCAAAGTGTAAAGTTATGGACCTTGGTCATGGAAATATAAATCATGAATATGTAATGAATGATGGTAATACATCTCTTATTATAGCGGCAACGGATGTTGAAAAGAGACCTGGGTATCTTTTTATCTAACAATCTAAAATGGAATCAACACATACAGGTTGCGACACGTAGAGCAAATATGATACTTGGCCTACTAAAAAAAACATTTAGATCAAGAGATATTAAGCTTTGGGGTAAACTATATACTACATATGTTAGACCGCACCATTTGCTGTTCCGGTATGGTGTCCTTACTTAAAGGGCGATATCAAAGAAATTGAAAAAATTCAGCATAAAGCAACAAAAATTCCTCATGATATAACAAGTTTACCTTATGCTGAAAGGTGTCGGCGTCTCAATTTTACTTCTTTGGAAACTCGCAGGCGAAGCGGCGACTTGATCCAACAGTTTAAACTAGAAAACGGTTTTGAAATTATTAATTGGCATAATCCAACTCTTCGCAGATCACCATCCAACGATCTAACGCGTGATTTCACTTACAATAATGCTCGACATAATTTCTTCACAAATCGTATTGTGAATGATTGGAGTTATTTACCGTTGTCATGCAAAAAGGCTCCGTCAATTAACACATTCAAAAGTAGAATTGACAAGTATTTTTTTCCTACAGCTGCAAACAGTGCATCTTTTACTAAAGATGAGCTGCACGTTTAATTTAATTAATTCGTGCTTTAGCAGCTACAAATATTGACTTTTTAGGTACATTTGTCATAAACGTAAACTGTAATTAAATGAAAGCAAAAAAAAAAAATTAAAAAAAATAAAAATAAAAATAAAAAAAAAAAATAAAAAAAAAAAATGAAACAAAAAAATAATAATAATAATAATAATAAATAAATAAAAATTAAAAAAAAAATAATAATAGTAATAATAAAAAAAAAATAAATAAATAAAAAAAATAAAAAATGCTTTTGTTTTTTAATCTGTTTATTGGATTGTTTTTTTATTTATTTGTCATGTAATCTATAAAGACTTATTTAAATATATTACTATTACTATTACTATAAACTGATGAATTCTCATATCCAAAGACATTAACACTTATATCTTGATTATTTTTCTCAAATAGTGTTATCTGATTTAATGACACTAGGAATTCTATTTTTTCCCAATTTAATTTATTAGCTTGTTCTTTTAGATCTTTATCTACTCTTTCAGAATTTTTTTCTTTAGTATTAAAAAATCTAGCAACAAACCACTTAAAGCATACGTTGTCTTTATTTATCGATTACTTCGTTTTGCAATACATTTTTGTTTTCCATTCTTTTTATTATGTGAAGAAACTTATTTAACTCATTTTAAACAAATTTAATTTATTGTATTATTATTTAAAAATTTTCATTATAAAAATTCTTGACCTATTCGAGATTTAATATATATATTGAAATTTGTTTCCATCAGATATAAGTTGTCCAAATTTATCAGAAATTACAACAGCACATGCAATTGTATTTGCTGGAACAGGTGTATTAAATGTTGCTTAACTTGAACATCTATTGTTGATTGTTTACTTACATAAATAACAAAAAGTAAATTAATATTGCTGATTGTTTACTTACATCAAAAACAAAAAGTGAATATAAATTTTTATAATCTGTAGGATTTATGCAGCATTGTGTTATTAGTTCATTCATTCCATAAAACTTTCTTAGTAAATAGAGATGCATCTCTATAAGCTCTTGAAAATTGTTGATCTGGCAATGATAGATTATAATTAACAATTTCAGAATAACTTCGTGAATTAAGTGTTACGTACATATTTTTCAAGTCACAATGATCAAATGTTGCAGGATTTTGTTCTTGACTGATATTTTTATTTGTTTGAAATCCAACAACGATGAATCTAGGTCTTGCACTATATGATGTTGGATTCAGTGAGCAAGTAAAATCAGTAGTTTGTGAAACACTCAAAAACTCACTATGCCTTTCATTAAAAGATACTGAAAGTGATTTTGATTCAACTTCTTTATTAAGCTTAAGTTTATATTCAAGAGATGGTTTAACATGTGGCATAAACAGTGATACTTTAGTAAGATTGATTTGTCCAGCAGCTGCATTTGCAGCTCTAAAAATAGCTTTATTATTATCATCTCTAATTAGAGTAAGTGTATGTGTTAATCCACAAACAACTTTATCATAAGTATCACTGAATCCAAAAATATGTTTTAGAGGAACACAAAATGAAAATTTTCATTTTGTATTTGGCTCTTGAATTAAATAAGATTGTCTTGCTGCAAATCCTAAATTTGTAGCAATTGCTGCAGTTGTTGATGAATCTTTATACCATAATTGGTTCATACCTTGAACAAATTGAAAAGCATTTGAATATTTTAGCAATCCAATCATTGTAGTTGTTCTACCTAAATTTTTAATATTTTCTACAATTTTACCTGATAACTGAAAATCTGCTCTACTGAATAAATACATAAGACCATTGTTTACAAGTGTTACAGCATCTGCATTAGCATAAGATGTTCCATCTGCTTTTAGAAGTCTTCCTTCAATCAAAATATAAGCATCAGATGGAAGTGTAAACAAGCCTTCCTGATTAATAATGATACTTATTTCAGTAGCAGGATTATCAAAATTTGTAATTCTACTTTGATATTTATGGTATTCAAATTTTTCAATACTCTCATCAATCATTGTATTTTCTGTAAAATTTAGTGTGTCAAAAGTTACCATTTTATTTTTTTATATACAAGATAATTTTTTTTTAATCATTTTCAAGAGTCTGAATTTTTTTAAATTTATTTTATACTGTTCTAAGACCTAGACCTTCTTTAACTTTACTCTTTTTAGCTAAATCTTGTATTCTTATTGCATTTGAAATTTTCTGTTTTGATTTATTGTTACAAGATTTAATTGCTGATCCAAACATAATTTTACTTAAATCTGTTTTTACTTCACTATATAGATTATTAGCTACAGATTCAATCAAATTTGAAAGAATTTGTTTACTTTCAGGTGTAAGCTCGTTAGCTGCTTTATTTGATGCTTTTTTTATTATTTGTATTTCAATATCTGCAATATCTACTGCTAAAGACGTTATCTTTAGCAGTAGATATTGCAGAAGTTGCGAGTTCTTTTCCTGCAGACTTTGCAGCATCTATTGCATTTTTTCGCTAAATTACTAGCAGCTGCTTTACAAGCTAAAGCTCTAGATGCGTTTAGTGTATTATTTAATGCTTGTCTCTGAAACATATTTCTCATAGAACTAAATAGTCCACTTCCACCAATAACATGTTTCTTAATATATTATTTATAATGAGCATTTTTATTTAGTAACTATTTTTATTTAATTTATTTTAATAAATGAAAAGCTAATTAAAACACTTTGGATCTGCATAAATATATAATTATTTAATTTATCTATTTCCTAAATTACTAGACAACATATTCTTCATAGCAGATAATACTAACTAAATCTGAAGATTTTGCTCGATTATATACATTAATAATATCATCTAATACTCCACTTCCACTAACATTAATTTTTTTTTGTACGTCTTTATAATATTTAGAATCAATTACACCTTGACGTAACAACTCATCACAAATTGCAACAGCTTCATTTCTAGCTCCAGTATTACCTGCTTTTAACGCAGCTATGCGTAATTGAAGCATTTTAACTAGTTCATCTGGATCACTAGGAAGAATGATGACTCCTTTTCCAGATTTCCAGTTATTTCTTCCCAAATAGGCCTAATTATTTCTTTATATTTTTTACTTCTAGATGATCTAGGTTTTCCTGGATATTTACTAGAAGAAATAGCATCTGTTTCTTTCAATATATTTTTATAATCTTCAAGATCGTGTTCATTATATATATCAGGTTTAGCTTTTGTTAAAAATTCCCAAAGACCAGTAGTTCCAATATATTTTTTATCATCAATAGTTATATAATCACCTTCAATAGTTATCTTTTTTTTTCCTATATACAATTTTCCATTTTTTGAGTGTATACCAAATGTAAAGTCTGCTTCCTTTTTATTACTATACGCTGTCTTCAAATAATTTGTTGCTATTTTTCCTAATCTAATATCTTTACTTTCAGTGTTACTTGGCAGTATTGCTTTTGTTTCAGGAATATATGAATTTGACAAAGTGAGTGCTTATTGATTTGACAAAGTGAGTGCTAATTACTTTCTAATTTAGATAAATTTTATTTTATAACAGACTGACCATCAATTATTAGCATTTTTGTTAAGTTAGTCTGTAAATCATTAGCGTCTAAGTATTCATTTATAGAATTCTGATATATCTTTTTCCTTGATTCTATTACTTCTTTAATCATTTGATCTCATTTATCAGGATCTATAGTTTTAAAAAATAGCATTTTATATATGCAATAATTTTTTTAAATTATTTACATAATCCAGAATTGCTAAATCTCTTTGATATATATCATTTTTTACATGAACATAATATATGTTTAACATGAACATAATATATGTTTTACATAAACATAATATATGTTTTACATGAACATTTATTATTTTTTAATTAATATTTATTTTGCTAATATTTTGATTTTTACCGAACCTATTCTCTAACAGTTCCATAGCTTCTATCATAGCTTTATCTCTACCTATAATAATAAGTGATTCTTTAGTTTGATTATCAATTTCATTTTTAGATTTTGTTCTAATTTTTTCAGACATGTCTTTAAACTTTTGAAGTTCTCCAAGTATCATTGTAAATTCTACATTATCGGTAGTACCATCTTTTAAAGCTTTAGAAATATGGTCGCTTATAATATTTAATTTTGCTAGTAATTTAATACTTATATGCTTTTCTGCTTTTATGTTTAATTTTTAAATAATTTATGATTCTATTAATGATAATAGTCTTATACTTAATAATGCACCTTCACATGCAATAGCTACTGATGTTCCAACTATTGTTGTTAAAAAACCTTTACTCACAGCTCCAAGTGTCATAGTAGTTGCTTGTAATGAATTATCAACAACTGAAATTATTCTTGAAGTTCTGTGATATTTTTTACTTAACATAGCTCTTCTATTTCTTTCACATTCTATCTTACTATGAATTTCACTTATCTTATCTAATCGATATCTCTGATCTATAGATAGTGGTGGTGCAGTTGAAAGATCTGGATAAATATTTTTATATTGTTCATTTTTACAGTCATTGTAATTATATTCCATCTTTTTATAAAAAATCATTTCTTTTAAATTACTTTAATAAATCGTGTTTATAAAAATTAGATTAAGTATTATCTTGATTTAAAAAATTATTTATAAATAAATCTCCTATACCTGATAATATAGATTTAACGGAGTCATTACCTTCTTTCGATTCTTCTTTTGGTTCTTCTTTTGGTTTAACATTTTTATTAGATGTAGAATTAATTCTATTTATAATTCCGTTATAAGATAAGATATAGAATAGACAATTTTCTATTTCAATTTTTTATCTTCTTTATCATTATTATATAAAGTTACAATAATATCATCAGTAGACTCTGCTATTACAGAATTAAACAAGTTTAAATGTGGCTCATATTTTTTTGTTAGTGCAACTAATGCATACCCTTCATGTATTTTAACTCCACACTTTAAAGAAATGTACTTGTATGAATTTGATTTCATTACAAAATCTTGTTGAGCAAATATTTCACATATTCCATTACTAACTACTGCATGATGTTCTAAATCTATATTAATCGTTAAAAAAATACTTATTTTTTGCTTTATGTAATTTTGAGTATATCCCATTTTGTTTATCGGCATTTTTATAAAGGAAACATTTTGGCTTAAATTAAAAAAATTCAGACTCTTGAAAATGGTTTAAAAAATTATCTTGTATATAAAAAATGGATATCATAGATTTATCATGGAATGTAAATAAAAGTAAACGTTATAATAATAAGTTATTACCTAAAAGTATAAGAGGATTTATTGTAGAAAAGTCAGGTTGTGGAAAAACAACTTTATTATTAAACTTACTTTTAAGACTTGATTGGTTAGACTATAATAATTTACAAGTTTTTGGAAAATCTCTTTTTCAACCAAAATACAAAATATTAAAAAGTTCTTTTGAAAAAAAAATTACCAAAAGAAGTTGTCCCCGAAGTATTTAAGCCACAAGATCAAATAGAAAAATTAAATGCGAGTCCAGAATTTATTATTGAAGACATTTCAAAAAATTTTAAAGAGAAAACAGATATTGAACGCAAGTTTTTTGAAACAGCAGATGATGTCCCAGAACCTGAAGATCGTGATACTAGCAAGAATAATTTAATGATATTTGATGATTTACAGTTAACAAAACAAAATAAGTGTGAAAAATACTATATAAGAGGAAGAAATAGTAATGTAGATTGTTTCTACCTTGCACAAAATTATTTTGAGTTGCCTAGGAGAACTATAAGAGAAAATGCAAATTTTATATTCTTGTTTCCGCAAGATGCAAAGAATTTAAATCATATTTATAATGATCATGTTACAAGTTATATGCTGAAAGATGAGTTTAAAGATTTTTGTAAGAAAACTTGGTCTGAACCACATGGATTTGCTGTAATAGATTTATCTTCCAAAAGAGATTATGGAAAATATAGAAGTGGATTAGATGATATTTATATACCAGATTGTGCATTTTCATAAAATATATATTTTTTATTAAATATATATTTATATCTAGAAAATTCAGATCTACTAATTTATTAAAGAATCAAATTTAATACAGGGATATTCTTAAATGGTGAATTTTCACCTAATAATAGACCTTTACCTACTGATGTATATGTTTTTCCACTTTTAACACACAATCCATTACCTGAATAACTATCAATTTTAACCCATGGATCTATAAATAATCCGTTTCCTGCAGCTCTAACTTTAATTCCTTGTCCATTCTTTTTCATGTAGACAATACCATTTCCAGCAATTTTATTAACTACAGTATTTCCAGCAACAGCAGCTGTTCCAGTCAATAATCCTGTTGCGATAGCTGGAACAACTTTTAAAGCTAAAAAACTTCCAACTAATCCTAGCAAAAGTAAAAATCCAAATTGTCACCCAAATTAACACGTTTTCTAATATTTCCCCTAATGGTATTTAACAGTTAATTTATCCCCTAGATTTTTAAGGAGATGACCATCCTAATCGATCAATGTAGTTGTCATATTTATAAATGATTTTGTTGTCATTCTCGAATAATTTGGATTACCTATTTTTTCTACAATTTTAAATCTAATACCTACTTTCGGAAAAAATATAATATTTCTAATTTTATCATAAGTATAATATTTCTAATTTTATCATCTACATTTGTACTTTGTACAAGATTATTTGTGATATGTATAGTATTAACATGCGTTATATTAGTTATTTTTTCCGATATATTATAACCTCCATAATATTTTTTACTCTCAAAACCTAAAAGTTCTCTAATTGAATTTGGAATTGTAAAACCAACTTGAAACCTTGGTGAAAGAGTCATATTTGTACTCATTGTAGCAACTTCTGCTGCAAATGTAATAGTACCAGATAAATGACTATCTTTTAGTAAATGATCTTCTAAGTATTTAGTTACAAATGCAAGCCCATATGTCTAAAAGTGCAAATGCAAGCCCATATATTTTTAAAAGTGAAATCTACCCAATTAGCGTCATCATCTGTACTGAAATTAAATTTATTATTCGTTTCATTTATATTTGG